AGTTCATTCAGGTTCGTTATGAGCGATGTATATGTAGTCTGATATTTATCGGGTAGTGCAGCAAATAAACTTGGTTTCATTGATTGCGCTAAATAGTGAAATTAAAACACTACAATAATGGAATCAAGTCCCGACCCAAAGCTTACCTGTAAGACTATGTATTGTATATGCTTGTGAAAATAGACGTGGTGCAGTATAGAATGTACCATCGGCATTCCAATGTTTTGCTTCAGCGAGACGTTCTAAACCACATTGCGAGACAAAACCAAGAAGCCTTGCGTCTGTACCAACATTTATCTGAAGAAAATCACCGCCGAGGTTATCCTTCTTCCAGTCGTCCGGTATATCGAATTCTGTCAAATTATGTGGTATGACCGGAAGACTACTGTTACGACATCGATATAGTGACGATCGTACTGAATTAAATACTGGTAGTATACCTCCAGTTTGCATGAAAAATTTAATACTTTCTTGTTCATAAACTTTCGGGATTGCAGTTGTTTCTTGTTCTGCTCTACGTTTCATGCCACGAATACATTGTTGTTCTAGATTTTGATGTGGTTCGTGATCATGTTGGCCTTTTTCAATCACAAATTTGTTTGAATCAATTAATATCGCAGCACTACACTCCTTGTTGATACAGCGCCATGATACTGAACCTTTTTTATTGTTTCTGATATGCCGATATCGATGTGAATTATAAATACAAATTTGTGAACCACGCTGACCGGTTTCAATTTCAAATTCCATTTTGTAATATATGTAATTGTAACTGTATGTAACTGTATTGTAAAATATTTGTGGGTACACATATATTTTTGTGCAGAGAATATATACCTTTTTAGGAATTATTTGATTACTCATTTCTAATATTAGCTGTCCCAATTTCTCCAACAGTTTCCCAGAATTTCTTCAGTTTTAATCATTTGTCGTATAAGTCATCATTTATATTATTTACACAGCATTTAAATTATGTTCAAATTAAAGAAGTGTAGCAGTAGCTTTTCGCTATACGTAGCGTATGAACAGTATATGTATTTTTCTATTTCTTATTCTAATCAAATTAAGAATATATGATATAACGATATATTTTTCTATTTCTTATAGTCCATGTTTTACTTGCTAATTAAAAAGTGTGCGGAGTTTGAGATCACGTATATTTCGAATTCATATAATTATGTGCGGAGTTTGGGATATAGATATAGTCACTTTTTATTAAAAGTGTGCGGAGTTCGGGAAGTAACGAGTGAAACATAGCGGTCAGTTGTCTTTGAAGAGATAATCAAACTAATCTAATCAGATTAAATTAGAAAAGAAAACGAAGTTTCTATATACATGTATATAAAAGTTATTATAAAACGAAATATTGTGTGCGGAATAGAGGAATAACGGAATAGCGACCGATCGGAATACATTTTGACATGCTCCCTTAAAACATAAATGCAAAACCCTCCAGAGAGCCAAAAAAGGGCTTCTTTATATGTGCTTTAGATGTGCTGCGTGAGCGATATGAATAGCGAAATTTCGCGTGCATTCGATGAAATCATTGTGACGCTTAGCAATGTGGACGAACTCGACTCCAAGACAGTGGAACAACAATTCCTGAGTCTTTTCGGACAAATAGCTGATGTAGAAGGATCAGATAAATCTCTTTTCTATCATTGTCGACACTGCTATCATACACTGCGTGTCTCTTATTTCCGAAGAATGAATAATGTCGACAAAGCTATCAACGAAGAAAACGTGTTGGCTAAATACGCAATGTTACGCGAGCAATTCCATATTCGAGAAGCTACTGTTGTTTCGTCTACTAGTCAGCAGCGCCTCAATAACAACAGCGACGCTAATAATCATACCATGGTCTCCTCATGGGTGGACGTGCATAGCCAAGTTGCAACATTGGCTGACTTGGCCAATATGCAGAATATCCCGATCAGGATTTATAGCCCAATCAGGATTTTATTCCGATTAGGATATAAGTCATAAGACCGGACTGACAGGCACAATACAACCGACCGTAATAAGTCACTTTTACAGCTAACCATAACAAAAGCAGAATAACGTTTTTTCTTTCGTTTCTGCCGTTTATTATCTAGGTACTAGTCACTCACAGTGAAACACAACGGAAAAAGTCTTTTGAAAAACATTATGGTTATGTGTATAACTGATTGACAGAGTAAGATTTTGTATAGGATAGATTAACAGAGAATTTTTTCCTCTGTAAAATGCAGTAAAATCAAAATTTTGGATAAAAGTTGAGTGGCAGAAAAAAAAATCTTTTTTTGAGATTTTATATATTTGATTAAAAATTTAACTTAATTATTAAACAGTGAAAATCAAAATTTCAAAACCAAAATATCTCGTCTGCTAATACCAACTTTGTACGATGTGATCTTCAATGTTGGATTTGCTTTTTTCCCTTGACTGAAAGTCTAGGGTCATATGAACGAAATGTCCAGTAGACTGGTGACACATACATTCCTGTAAAATAGCGACATAAGGAAAACCCACATAATTACTATTTTGGTACGGAATTTTTTCGAATAAAAGTCGCACAATAGACTGAAAACCTTCCTGCCCTCATCCTATCCTTGCTCACCTCTGTAACTGCGGACATCTTTTTATATATGATCCGTAAGGAAAAAAGATCATTATACACCACCTTCAACTCCATCTCAGCAGCTTCTAAACTTCGAATCTCATTACAGGTAACAAAAGTTAGAAGTCTCTTATCTCTCTTTAACAGATCATCAGATGTGCCAAATCGATACCAAAACTCAATCGGAGAATTGTCTGAAACTGGCAAAAATAAGCCGAAATTCGATATCATACCTTACTTTGCTAAAAGATATAAAACCATTCTATCATCTGCCGCATCGAAAAGTTTATGAAGAAGCGCATCAACAACCAAATTAAGTTTTGAGATTTCAGAAAATTTGAATTGACAGTAAAGGCATACCCAAAAGAGCCTTAGCCCCTTCAATTGTTGAGCTATAAGCTGCTGTCGTCAATCTCTGCTTTTTTTTCTTATATTTTTAGTCATTCATCGAACGAGTTAGCTCAGCAGATAGGTAATATTCGATTTTTCATTTCCACTTTTAATCTATTAGTTGATTAAGGCTTACAAGAATTTTGGAAAAGTTTACGGGAACTTATTAATATTAGTTGACAAACAAGCTTGATTGCCAACTGCATTCCTTGTCGTAAAGGTGACAGCATTCATGACGACCGCAGTTAGAGCTTGATCTAACATAGTTGTTTGCTATTCTAAAAATCTCACAAATCGACCTGTTTTTCTGATTCAAGTGATCTGGCTAGTTGAAATATTATTGATTTAGGAAATAACGGGTGGCGCATAAATAAACGCACTCCCGTATTTTGAATATAACTCCGCCGGCTTTTATCCTATCGATCCAAATCTTTTTCCAAAAGATTCCTTATTGAATTCTCTACAAAACCATGCCATAA